CAACCTATAGTATTTGTCAAATGTGTCAGCATGAAATCATTCATAACAGTCTCTTATTATCCTTTTACATCTACAGAGGCTGTAACAACCCACTCTCATGTCTCCCGTTGGTCATTTGTGCCTTGTCTTTTTCCTAATAACTCCTACTATAGGTTTTCTAAAGGAGCTCTGGTAGCGTAGTAGTTACGAATCGGGCTGTGAATCACAAGGTCAGCAGTTCAAAACTACCAGCAGTTCTGTGGGAGAAAGATGAGGCGTTCTGCTCCCATAAAGATTTATAGCCTCGGAAACCCTGTACAGGGTCACTATGAGTCGGAACCAACTCCACGGTACTTAACAACAACAACAACAACATAGGTTTTCTAATGTGTTGATCTTATTAATGAATCAGCTTTTGGTTTTATACCTAATCCTCACTTAATGACTATCTCATTATCCACGTTTCAGATTTACAACAATAGTACAAAAAAAAAAAGAAAGAAAAGAAAATCTACCATTTAATTATTTTGTGCATTAACAACCCTGCCAAGTCTCATACCCTTGCTGCATGCAGCTGATCTGGAGCACTTAACCCCAGTCTGGAACCCACAGACGCCCAAAGCTTTGACTCCTCCTGGCCCCCGCCACCCCCGGCTCTTTCCAGCTCTCTCCCAGCTGCATCTATACAGTGGCCCTGGCTTGAGGGTCAGGTGAGGGTCAGGCAGTGCTCACCTGGGCAGGGCTGACCCCGGTCAGTGCTGCTCACACCCCCTCTGTGCATGTTGTTGTCGTTGCAGCCCTGTACAGGGTTTCCAAGGCTGTAAATCTTTACGGGAGCAGAAAGCCTCATCTTTCTCCCACAGAGCGGCTGGTAGTTTTGAACTGCTGATCCTGCGGTTCGCAGCCTGATTCATAACCACTACGCTACCAGAGCTTCTATGTTGTTGGTAGATCAGGTGCAAAGTTCAGCCACTCTAGCTTTGCAGTAACTCGGAAGACTGCCTAGAACTTTCCGGGTGCTCTCCCCCTCCATCGTGAACTGGAAACGTTCCAGGCAGTAACTGGGGTGGTCCTGAGCTCCCCTCCTTTGTCTCATCGCTCAGGAATCACTGTACTCCACTGCCTGCTCCCAATCGCTCTTAACCATGATTCTGTATATGCTTTAAACTTGATTAGTTAGGGCAGCCCCCTGTTACCATGTATGTCTTGTATGGCATATTCAGGACACTGGTTTTACTCCTGGGAGGAGTTTGCGTGTCATTATCTGACCTAAATTACGTACATGGTGGAACCAATACATGAAAAGAATAAAATGTGGAGGGATAAGCAGCCTCCTAACAGAACATATAGTTTACGGATTTGTCTTGTTGACCATTGTTTATCATATTCATAATCTATCCCAGGTGCCTGGTGCAGGCCTCACTCTTAGTAGGCACTTGGGAACTGGCAGCAGAGAGTGAACCTGGAAATTAGGTTTTAAAGTGAGTGGAGCAGAAATGGATCCTACCCAAGATCCCACTGGAGGGAGCGGTGCTAGGCCAGGCTGGGCAGAACCCCCATAAGAACAAACTCTGAGAAAATCCCTTCTCCACATTTTCAGGAGAGGAGGGGAAAAGGGCAAAACCAAAGATGTTAGTTTGAGGACCAAGGTGTGCCTGACCTAAGCCATGGTATTTTCAATAACCTCATATGCATGCGAAAGTTGGACAGTGAATAAGGAAGACCATAGAAGAACTGATGCTTTTGAGTTATGGTGTTGGAAGAAAATACTGAAAGTGCCATGGGCTGCCAAAAGAACCAACAGATCTGTGTTGGAAGAAGTGCAGCCAGAGTGCTCCTTGGAGACCATGGTGGCCAAACTTCGTCTCATACTTCAGACGTATTGTCAGGAAGAACCAGTCACTGGAGAAGGAGATCATGCTTGGTAGGGTGGAGGGTCAGAGATAAAGAGGAAGACCCCCAGTGAGATGGATTGGCAAAGTGGCAGCAGCCATGGACTCAGGCAGAGCAACAATTGTGAGGTTGGCCCAGGACCGGGCAGTGTTTTGTTATGTTGTACATAGGGTCGCTGTGAGTTGGCACCAAACAACAACAACACGTAGGTGGAATCCTGGTGTGGTGTTGTAATCTAATGAGCTGGACTGCAAGGTCAGTTTGAACCACAAGGTTTGCAGTTCAAACTCTCCAGCCGCTCCTCAGAAACTCTGTACAAGGTCGCTGTCCATCGGAACCGACTCAGCAACACTTAACAACAACATATATGAAGTGGTGTTGTAGGATCAGCACTGGACTGCCAATCACAAGATTAGCGGTTCAAACCCACCAGCTGCTCCTTGGGAACTCTATGCAGGGTCAGAATCAACTCAATGGCACTTTATAACAACAACATATGAGTCAGTGTTATAGTATGACTAAAGCCCCCATTTAAACGAGGTATCCACTAAGTCATTTTAGCCCCGTCTCACCCTGTCCCCCCACCCCCCACACCCTATGGAAAAATAACAAATAAACTTCTTACAGAAAAACCACGAAGGTCAGAATGACCCAAGGACACCTGAACAAACAGGATAAAAACTTAGCCCATCCATCCATACAAACAAGATAAGGGTTTATTGGTGGGTTTACTCCCACTTACAGGATAAGAGTCTGCTGGAATTTTCCACCCCAGGTAACAAGACAAGTCTGTCTGTTTTCAGCACTCTATGTTTTTGTATAAAACCCTGTGTTCGCTTCCTCACTTCGGGGTCAGAGTGATTTGGGCCTGAGCTGACACTCTGACTGCCGGCAGTAAACTTTGCTCTTTAAGATTTCAAGTTGAGCTCTTTCTTTCTGATTCACACTGCCGCCACAGTAGGACTTCTGGTGTGGCTCTGTAGGATCAACACTGAACTGCAAACCACAAGGTCAGCAGTTCAAGCCCACCAGCTGCTGCTCGGAAACCCTATGGTCGCTATGGATCAAAACTGGCTTGATAGCACTTAATAACAACAAGTTATCAAGTGGACAAGTTCTCTGAGGAATACACTTGTCTTACTCTCATTACTGTTGTTGTTGTTGTTGTTAAGTGCCGTCAAGTTGGTTCTGACCCATAGCGATCCTGTATAGGGTTTTGAAGGAGCGGCTGGTAAGCTTGAACCACCAACCTTGCAGCTTAAACCGACCTGGCAGTCCAGCACATTAGCCCACAGTGCCACACCAGGATTCTATTACTCTCATTAGAGCGCTTTCAAAAACAACAACGAGGTCTAATCAAAACAGTGGCCTCCGAGGGGCATTGTGAGGCCAGTTCAGTTCAAACCAAGCCAGAAAAGTCCACCCAGAAGGCTATGGTGACTGTGTTTTGAGGACCCCATGGGGTAATCGTGATGGGTTTTCTCTAAGGACCATCATAGGGATTTAGGTGTTGATGTTGGTGTTGAATCCCTTCCAGTTGATTCTTACTCACAGGGCTTCTGAAGGGCAGCTGGTGGGTTTGAACCATGAACCTGTGGTTAGCAGTCCAGTGCTTACCCTACAGTTCCATGGTGGTGGTGTTGTATGCCATCGAGTCAGTCCCAACTCATGTTGTTGTTGTTGTTAAGTACCATGGAGTCGGTTCTGACTCTTGGCGACCCGCACAGGGTTTCCGAGGCTGTAAATCTTTATGGGAGCAGAACGCCTCATCTTTCTCCCAAGGAACGGCTGGTAGTTTTGAACTGCCAACCTTGAGGTTAGCAACCCAATTCGTAACCACTATGCTACTAGGGCTTATTAGGAAGAAGTTTTAAGAAAATTGAAAAGTACCTAAGTTAGGAAAAGGCTGGGAAACAGCACCATGGAATTCCCCCATCCCAAAAGTGCCCCCCGCCCCCGGCTCAGTCTTCAAGGGCAATGAGGTTGTCCTAGGAGAATTCCACTGGGAAACCTCACCCCATCCACCCTATAGCCCTAATCTTGCCCTTTCAGACTTCTTTTGTCCCCCAAACTCCAAGAACATTTAAAAGGAGTGCAGTCTCAGTCCCTTGGGGATGGCTAAATGGCCGTTTTGATGTAATGCAAATAAAAGAAGTCAGAATCCTTAGGGGGCAGGTTGTGCTCTTGCTGTTGAATGCCTTCAAGTCAGTTCTGATTCATAATGACCCTGTATAGGGTTTCCAAGGAGAGACAGCGAGCTTGGACCGCCGACCTTGTAGTTTAAACTGACCTTGAAGTCCAACACATTAACCCACAGCGACACCGCAGGACTCCTCGGGGGAAAGTTAGAGAGCTGGAAACCATTCCTTTAGAAGTGTGCAGACCTAGATGGAGGGGATGTCAAGAGACAGTGACTACATGTTTGGATATTTTTGTTCAATAATGATGTCTGTGGTTTGTAGCAATACTTTTTGACTTACCCTGCCATACGTTCTCTGTCTCTCTCCCTCCACCCGCTCCCCTCCACCCCCCGACACACACGCTCTGAAGGATCAGGCTGCTGAGGCCTGGAGCAGACAGGATTGTGGGACAGCTTTTCTAGCTTCATGATCTTTGTTCCTAGCACTTGCTGACCTCCTTCCAAGTCCCCACCAGTGATGTCTGGGGTACCAAGGACAGGCTTGCATGTGCACCTGAAAAGAGTTGTTGTTGTTAAGTGCCGTCAAGTCGGTTCAGACACATAGCGACCCTACACAGGGTTTCCGAGGCTGTAAATCTTTACAGGAGCAGAAAGCCTCATCTTTCTCCCACAGAGCAGCTGGTAGTTTCAAACTGCTGACCTTGAGGTTCATAGCCCAATTCATAACCACTATGCTACCAGAGCTCCTTCCCAAAATCAGTGGTGGAGCTGGGACTGCGCTTGCGTTACCCTGATCCCACGTGCTGGCAGCCATGTCTGTTCCACAGACACTTGCTAGAAGTCAAACCCAGCAGGCCAACAGCTGCTGCTACCTAGCCCCCTGTGTCCCTGAGGCTGCACTCGTGTCTCCTGCATTGAGGCCAGGAGAACACAGGTGCACAGAGGACCATTTTTCCATTCCAGAGTCTCCTCACATACCTCCAAATCCATGAAGGACCTATCACACACGAAGCTACCTCAGAGCTCTGCTCACAGAGTCACCTCCACCATCCTGCTCCACAAGTCACACAGCAGCCAGGCTGCCCTGGTGCCCAGAGAGCACAGGGTGTTCATGGAAGAAGCCTACAACGCAGGTGACCACCAGCCCTGGGACTCGATGGGGCGGGGGCCCATGGGGTCAACTTCAGCCTCCCATCATCCTCCTGCCCTGGACATTCCTGGGTGAGGACTAGAGGGGGTGGCCCTCTGAGAGCTTGGGGGGATGCCAAGTGAGATTTCATCAGAAGAAGGCACCTTTCATAGCCCCCAAAATGCTCCATCTCACACCCCCTGCCCTGCTCTACTCTCTAGTTCTTTCATCTCAAAACCTCAGTTTAAGGTCTAGGCCTTGCCCTGGAATGCCTTAAATTCCCACCTCCTCGGAGAAGCCAGTCCTCCTCTCCCCTCCCCTTCCTCTGTGTGTGCACCCAGGCTTGTTAACATACCTATCCCCACTGAACCAAAGTCCACTAACACTGGACAGGGAATCCCCCAGGCCAGAGCTGAACCCCGACTCCCCCTTGACCCCACAAACAGCCCTGTGCTCACAGAGCGAACACCAGTGAGTGCTGGCTGCAAGGTAGAGGTATAACGTCATTATGAATTGATGAAGGAGTAGAACGAATGAATGGATGGATGGATGGACGGATTGACAGACAAACATACATATGGATGAGTGGGTAGATGGATGGATGAATGATGGATAGGTAAGTGGAGGGATGAAAGGCCGTTGGGTTCACGGCAGGATGGAAACATGAATGAGTGAATGGGAATAGCAGACTTGCCTACATTCCTGCCCTTATCCTATCTTCAACCCCAGGAGAGGACAGTCAGGAGGCCCCAATGTATCCCATAGCCACCCTCTAACCTGCCCACCCTGTCCTACTGCCTCAGTGTGGTGCCCCCACAGCTTACCCGCCTTCGCACCCTTCTTGCCGACTTTAGCCATCTGCTTCAAAATGCTCCGGGACCTGAACAGGTCACACCCCCTTCACCTGAAGCATGTCATCAGAAAGATCACGAGTATGGCTTATGAGTCCCCCAACCTGGTGTTGGAAACCATCCACGATTACTTCACAGACAACCCAGAGGTAGGGGCAACTTGGGCATCGGGGGCAGGCATGGGGAACACAGAGGGGGTGGGCCCCAAGATGGGCTCAGATCCTGGCTCCTCAGATGTCAAATGGGCTGAGACCGGGGAGGAAAGTTGATCCATGACTTTAATCACCCTCAGAACTGTCTTCTGAGGTAGACGTGATGTTCCTCGCAGATGACGACACTGAAGCTGACAGAGATAAACAATTTCCCCAAAGTAACTGCCCTCAGCAGATGGCTGTGTGGATGATCTGTGTTTCCACAGATTAATAAACAAATGAATTAAGTAGCTTGAGGGCAGAATGTTTTGAAAATCCCTGTCTTTGTAGTGCTGGGCTCAAGGTCTACACTTGGTAGGTGCCCAATAAACCAGTCATTGAGTCAATGGCCAAATGCATCCATTGTGGTCATCCCCACTCCTCTCCATGCTCCTGCTGTTGTCTCCCACGTGCTAGGACCAGCTAGTCCTGAGCCTCAGTGCACTCTGCCGTCCACAGATCTCCATCCGACACAAGTTCCGGCTATTCCAGGTCCTGGAGACGGTCATCAGAACCAGCGACTCCCTGGCAGAGACCTGGGAGAAGACCTTCATGGAGCTGGCCCTGGAGAACATGACCAAGACCACGGTGGGCCCCCTCCCCAGCAGACCCAGTCCCCAAGGGCTCCGAGGACCCAGAGGGAGTTGGGGTGCCCAATGTGTGTCCAGCCCCCTTCCGAGGGGGGCCTCATGCACTCCCATTGCACAGTGGGGGGGGAAGGTGGGACCCCGAGGATCCTTGCTCATCTAAGGCCGCAGAGCCCCTGGATGCCTGGTCCCTGAGATCTGCTCTGGGTCTCCCCACATTCAGCACCTTCCTCCCCATCAGCCCAGCCCACACTGTAGGGGACTTCGGTGGGGCAGCCCAAGGCCTAGGCCTTCAGGGAGCCCACCTGATGGAGACTCACTAGTTTGGACCGAAACTGCCACTTCCACCAGACTGTCAGGCCAGGAAGTGCTCCAGGGTGACCACAGGTCTTAGCTGATTAGGGTTCTGGAACTTGGGGACAGGGGCTCAAATGTAGACTGACTAAACCCTGGTGACACTGTGGATTAGATGCCGCGCTGCTCTGCAGGTTATGTCCCATAAAGAATTCATTTCAGAAACCCTATGTAGGGTCTCCATGGGGTCCTAGTGTGGCCCCGTAGGATAAGTCCTGGACAGTTAACCACAAGATTGCCAGTTCAAACCCACTAGCTTCTCGGAAACTCTATAGGGTCACTCCAAGTCAGAAGTGACTCGACGGGACAACGACATGACTCGAAATGAACTCAGTGACGGTTGGTTTGGTCTCAGCCCAGGGCAGTCACCATGGTGGGCTCCCCTGGAACCATGATGAGTCAGGGTGGGAAGAGCAGTGTGGGGTCACTGAGTTACCACAGCACAACCTGGCCCTCTGCTAAGCACGAACGGACATCACCTGCCAAACAGCTGGAGAGACTGAGGTGCAGAGGACTTGGGGAACTTGCGGTTGGTAACCATCCCGATGGAGGACAACTGGTACCCTTCCTGGAAGTGAAGTACAGAGACCCAGGGTTGAGCCTGCCAGCCTCCCTTGGCCTCAGTTTCTATCCATAAAATGGGCAGATTGAGCAGCTCTTGGAACAACGCCCTCCCTGTTGTCCCTGCTGTCCTCCCCTCCCCTGTCCAGGAGCTGGAAGACGTGTACCAGGACGCAGCCAGCAACGTGTTGGTGGCTATCTGCAAACACTCCTGGCGGGTGGTGGCCCGGCACCTGGAGACGGAAGTGCTGACAGGCGTCTTCCCACACCGCAGCGTCCTCTACGTACTGGGCTTGATGTCCTCCAACAGTATGTCCAGTCTGGGCCGGGGGCTGGGGCGGGCGAGGTGGACGGACCCACCCAACACACTGGAAGCACCCCTGCCTTAAGACCCGATGGCTGCTGTCCTGCCCTCGGGGCCCTGGTTCAAGGTCACACCCTGTCCAGCTGGGCCACAAACTAGACCAACTCATGGGTCTCCATCAGTGTCTCACACATAGGCGTGGGCACAACCAAGACCCGTCAAGGAGTCCCAGGAGGGGACCTCGGGTACTGCTTCTGGGTCCCCCCTCCATCACTCAAGCAGCAAGCTTGACAGGCCCGGGGTCCCCAGCAGCTGCCACAGTCACTGTGCCGGGACCTGGAGCTGCCCCAAACAGAGAAAGACTGCTCTGAACAGTTGGGGGGGTGGCTCAGTTTAATGTCAGGCAACCAGTGTACCCAAGAGCAGGATGCTGAGGATTTGTAAAGTTCTCTGTCCTGAGCTCACTGGGTCCCCAGGGAGCAATTCAATTCACTGGTTCACTCACACATTCCTTCACTCGGAACTGCCAGCTGGGGAGGTATGGGAGTAGGCCAGGGCAGTGAAGGAGAAAGTCCCTGCCCTGGTGGGCATTGAGAGAGCTTCCCAGAGAAGGGCCAAGTCTGAGCCAGGTCTGGAGGGATGAGGAGCTGGAGGGAAGAGGCAGGCTTCCCTTGAGAAGGGAATGGTGTGTGCTTGCCCGGGCCTGGGGCAGTAGGATGAGACAGGGTCCAGAGAGAGGCCCACTGGGCTGGGGGACTGAAGCCAGGCAGAAGCAGGCCCAGCAGTTGGTGTAGATTCTTCAAAGCCAGGACGACCTCTAAGAGCCCCAAGTTCCCCCCAAACAGCTTCTCCCCCTGAGTGGGGTCTCCAAATCCCTCAGGAAGTGTCCCAGTCCCACAGTGCACCCCACTATGTCTCAATGGGCCCCTTCACTCTCTTTTGGGAATCCTGAGACCTAGAGAAGTTGTGTGATTGGCCTGTGGTCACGCAGCAGGGCGGATGCCACAGCTCCCATCTGAAAGCCCAGCTCTGGCTCCCTCAACACCTGGGTGGGGAGAGGTTCCTGTCACTCAGCCCCTCCTCTCCCCCTACCCCACAGAGCAGCTGTTCCACAATGGAGACCAGGTGTGCTGGGAAGAGCAGCTGGCCCAGGTAGGGGGAGGTGCCAGGCACCAGGCCTTCTTTGGGGGCAAGAGGAGAGGGCTGTAGCCCTGTAGGGGTAGGGGGAGAGCAGGAGGAAGGACCCCCACCATAGATGAGCCCATGGGAACCTAGAATTTGAACCTTGGTCCCTGGAGACCGGGCACAGCACCAGCATCTAGCACCCAGGAAGCTCTCAACACCCAGTCCCTGGTTCAGACAGACAGAGGGGCCTGAGCAGACTGTCAGTGCCACAGAAGAAAGGGAGAAGCTGAAGTGGGGTCCACGGCCCACCTGGACCAACCACACACCAAGGGAGGGGCTGCATGGCACATAACAGCTGCAACGTGTTGTCCAAGTCCCTGGGTGACTTAAACAGTGAGCATGGGATCGACTTGAAAATACAGCCACTGAGAACCCTAGAGTACAGTTCTCTGACACACACGGGGCACCATGAGTGGGATCTACTTATGAAAAATCATCCACTGAGGACCCTGTGGGGCACAGTTCTACTCTGACACACACGGGGCACCATGAGTGGGATCTACTTATGAAAACTCATCCACTGAGGACCCTGTGGGGCACAGTTCTGCTCTGACACACACGGGGGCACCATGAGTGGAGTCTACTTATGAAACATCATCCACTGAGAACCCTGTGAGCACAGTTTTCCTCTGACACACATGGGGCACCATGAGTGGAATCTACTTATGAAACATCATCCACTGAGAACCCTGTGGGCACAGTTCTACTCTAACACACACGGGACACCATGAGTGGGATCTACTTATGAAAAATCATCCACTGAGAACCCTGTGGGCACAGTTCTCCTCTGACACACACGGGGCACCATGAGTTCGAGTACACTCACCAGCACCCATTGTTTAATATGGTTATCTATGTATACTAGAGATCTGTATATTTTCCGGTAGGTTACAAACACCTCTTAAAAAAAAAAAAAGTCAACAAGAACATCTTCAGGAACCTGATTTGTTTTAAAACTCAGGTTGATTCAGATTTTAGAAAAACAATCTGGTGACCCTGCCAAATAGCCCATAAACACCCTTGTCAAGGCCTGAGGCAGAGATGGAAAAGCAAGTATCAATATCTCAGCCACAGAACCTACAAATAGCCATGCTAAGTCAGCTGACTAAACCATGTAAATGGTGGCACATCAACTTGGCACACCACACCTTTGCCACCAATGGAGGCTACTGCCAAGATGTGAAAGAATCCTGAATCTTTTTTGCTTTGGCTACTGCATTGCACAGGAAGGGCTGTGGTCTGTGGTAGAAGAGAAAGGGCGGAAGCAGGTGCCACCCAGGTCCTGCTGTGCCCCAGTGTCCTGCAAGTGGGGCAGTCGGACAAGTGGACAAGCCCCTCTGGTTTCTGCAGGAGTGGAGAGCAATTTGCATTTCAGGAGCTAAAAGAGCAATGCCAGTGAGAGAAGGAAAGGGCTCTGGCACGGACACTCCATGTTGGTCTTGTGTCCAGAAGGCTGCCAGGGATGCCCTGGTACTCACTGCATTGCATACTTCAGCCTAACTCCCTAGAGATCAAATTCCTTAGGGGCGTGCATGCGCCGTTTAACTTTTTGCTGATATTGCTAAAAGCCTTCCTAAAAAAGTTGTACATCCAGCCGTTCTCTCCTCAAAGGATATGAAGGTGCTACCCTCACCCCACTTTTCTGCCAACATTCGGTGTGCTAATTTGTGCCAGTTTTTGTCCAAACAATAACATCAGTCACTCACTACCATCCAATCCTGTATTGTGTTTCTGAGGCTGTAAAATCTTTACAGAAGCAGAAAGCCTCCTCTTTCTCTGAGAATCAGCTGGTGGGTTAGAACTGCCGACCTTGCAGTTAGCAGTCCAATGTTTTTCCTACAGCACCACTAGGGATCCTAAATGATGACATACAGGGTGCTAACCTCTGATCTCTAAGTATCAGAGAACTTGCATTTATACATTATGTGTTTGCTATGTCTGTGTCCCTTTAGCCATCCTAAGCATGTGAACTTTTTCTTATTGGTGTGTAAAGGGCTCTTTATAATCGAAGCTGCTCTTGTTAAGTACCATCGAGTTGGTTCTGACCCTGTGTAAGGTTTCCAAGAATCAGCCGGTGGGTTTGAACTGCCGACCTTGTGGTTCACAGTCCAGTGCTGGCCTGCAGTGCTGCACCAGGAGGTAGCCTTGGTAACAGGTGACAGATGACAAAAACAACAAAACTTTGCTGAGTCTTTTGTCTTTAAATGTTTTTTGATCTTTACTTTTGAGATTTTAAGGTTTGGGGCCATACCTTATGCCAGAAAGAATCTTGGGATGGAAAATCTTGGAGTGCCTGGCTCCTGGAGTCTAATGATGCTGAGGGTAGAGAAATCTAGTCTTCAACTTGAGCCACCCCCTTCGAGTCAAAACCGAATAGGGCTTTCTCTCTTGAAGAGACATTTTATTCGTCATCTGACCTCTCATTCCCTCATTTAAAATATAGCCATGGCCACTCACTCTGTGCTGTGAACAGAGCCCTGACCTGGTCCCCACCCTCAGGACACCCAGGGGCATACTTCAGCCAGCACTCATTGAGCACCCCACCCCCCCTGCCACCGGGGCTGGGGCACAAACAGGGCTCACCTGCACGTGCACTCACCTTCAGCACCTAGGGGAAGGATCTTAGGGGATGCGCTTCACATCTCTGAGGACGTCAGACAAATAGGAGACAGCTGGTCCTAAAGACTCCAAGAGGAAAGGGGTCCAGAGGAGGACCCGTCAGGACTGAGTTCATGGCCAGAGAGGCCAGAGTGGGCCAAGGCTAGTTGAAGCTGGGCTTCAGATCTCAGTGGATTCTGAGCCCTGGCCCTCGGTGGAGCCTGAACCCCGGCCCCCAGTGAAGCCTGAGCCCCAGCCCTAGTGGAGCCTGAGCCCCAGCCCTGCCCTCCCGGTCTACTAACAGATAGCTGCCAAGTCTGTGCAGTTCCTGAACACCGACGCGTGGTCCAAGGAGCTGCTGTGGACACTCACCAGGCCTAACCGGACACAGCAGGAGCAGCCCCCGGAGAAGGTGAGCCCCTGCCGCCACACAGCACCCAGCCATCTGCGTGCAGGCCCTCCCCACCCCCATGCAGGCCCTGAATGAAGCAGACAGAGGAGCTGGGACCTGGATGGGCAGCTGGTAGACGGTCCCAGAGCACGGTCATGGGCACTGCAGGAGCCAGGGAGGGTGACAGGTGTGGTAAGGTGGGCCATTCAGAGGTGGGGGGGCATCCATCGGGGGTTGGACGGGGCAGACCCAGAAGGATCAGGCCCAGGAAAGGATGCCCAACCCTCCCACAGACCTTTCTGTTCACCTTCTACGGGCTGATCCTGCAGGCTGCAGAGTGTAGTAGCACCATCCGGACACACCTGCAGTCCCTCCTGGAGACATCCCACCAGTGCCCCAAACAGAGAGAGGTGAGGCCGCAAGGGAAACAGGTGCACCACCACCAGACCTGACAACTGGCTTAGCCCTGATCCTGGTCACATGCTGAGCCCTGATCCTGGTCACATGCTGAGCCCTGATCCTGGTCACATGCTGAACCCTGATCCTGGTCACATACTGAGGCCTGATCCTGGTCACATGCTGAGCCCTGATCCTGGTCACATGCTGAGCCCTGATCCTGGTCACATGCTGAGCCCTGATCCTAGTCACATACTGAGGCCTGATCCCAGTCACAGATTGAGCCTTTTTCCTGGTCAAAGGCTGAGCCCTGACCCTGGTCACAGACTGAGCCCTGACCCTGGTCACAGACTGAGCCCTGATCCTGGTCACAGACTTAACCCTGATCCCAGTCACAGACTGAGCCTTTTTCCTGGTCATAGGCTGAGCCCTGACCCTGGTCATAGGCTGAGCCCTGACCCTGGTCACAGACTGAGCCCTGATTCCGGTCACAGACTGAGCCTTTTTCTTGGTCATAAGCTGAGCACTGACCCTGGTCACAGGCTCAGCTCTGACCCTGGTCACATACTAAGCCCTGATCCTGGTCACAGACAGAACCCTAATCTTGGTCACATGCTGAACCCTGATCCTGGTCACAGACAGAACCCTGATCCTGGTCACAGGCTCAGTCCTGATCATGGTAACAGAGAGATCCCTGATCCTGGTCACAGACTGAACTCTGATTCCAGTCACAGACTGACCCTTTTTCTTGGTCATAGGCTGAACCCTGACCCTGGTCACAGGCTCAGCTCTGACCCTAGTCACATACTGATCCCTGATTCTGGTCACAGGTTGAGTTCTGATCCTGATCATAGGCTGAGCCTTGACCCTGGTCATAGACTGAGTCTTATTAATCACAGGTTGAGTTCTGATCCTGATCATAGGCTGAGCCTTGACCCTGGTCATAGACTGAGTCTTATTAATCACAGGTTGAGTTCTGATCCTGATCATAGGCTGAGCCTTGACCCTGGTCATAGACTGAGTCTTATTAATCACAGACCTGATCCTAGTCATATCCTGAACCTTTTTCTTGGTCATAAGCTGAGCCCTGATCGTAGTCACATGCTGAGGCCTGATCCTGGTCACAGGTTGAATTCTGATCTGGGTCACATGCTAAGCCTTGATTGTTCTCACAGACTGAGCCCTAACCCTATTTAAATATTGACACCTGATGCTGGTCACACACTGAGCCTTTTCTTGGTCATAGGCTGAGCCCAGATCCTAGTCGCAAATTGAGTTCTGATCCTGGTCATCAGCTCAGTCCTCTCCCTGGACATGCCCTTAGCCTGACCCTGGTCAATGCAGAGTCCCATAATGGTCACAGACAGCCCACCCACCACCTGGATTCTTGTCTTTCATCCCACATATATTTCCTGGACCCTCACTCTGGCCCCTAGGTGGCTGTGCTCAGAGCTAGCAGTGAGGGACAGCTGGCCTGCAGGGTCCTTCTGTCTCCATCCCACCCGTGAGAGATGCCCCTTGGGTTGTGTTCAGAGTGGCCATGTCCTGGAGATTGTGGGACTGGGAGGAGAATGTCTGGGACCTTGCTATGCCCCTCCCATTCGGGCTGAGGGGCCAGATCTGGTCATGTGACAGTCACCATTTCACCCACCCACCAACAGGGCATGGCGGTCACCATGGGGCTGGCTGCTACCCGCCACCTGGACGATGTCTGGGCCGTCCTGGAGCAGTTTGGCCGCAGTGCTCCTATCAGATGTAGTTTCCATAGCTTCTCCCCAAAGGTACCTGCTCAGAGAACCTCAGGAATCTCAGCAAGGGGCCCCATACAGACTTCCTGCCCCCTTTCTTCCCTCCCCAGCTGTTGGGGGAGAGATGACCAATGGGTATGAAGGACCTGGTACATGCTAGTTGTTTAAGAAGCGACCACTTGGTGCCATTGTGCTGGGTTGGGGTTAAGCTCTTGGCCATTTTGCCTTGTGATTTAACTTCAAATAGGGGACGAGGGCAGGAGATCACCCAGTGCTCGGCTGCATGGATGGCTGCATACCCACACGCATCTCACCGCATCCTCAACCTCCCCCGCCCCGCTGGGCTACCTTAGGACAGAGTCAGGGAAGGGGATTCCCTGCTACCCTGGATCTGTTCAAAGGAATGGCTGTAGTCAACCACAGAGCCCGCAGCAGGGTGGGTAATTCCTCAGGGTCCTGCAGCCTGCATGTGGTGGGCAAATCAGGGACCAGGACCCTCACTCAGCCTCAGCAGGCCACAAAGTAGCCGCAGAACCTACACTGGGTCTCAGCAAGATCCAGTCCTTCTAGGTGGAGGCCCCTTCACCTGGAAGGAACAGTGGTGTGTGGACACTGGGCTCCTGGAAGGAGACCCACAAGAGGGGAAGTGAGGGGATTGGACCCACGCCAGCTCCAGCAGAGCCAGCTGCCCAGATACATACTCCTAGGTGGTCTCACTGGTCCACACACACACAACGACAAGCCCATTTTCCCTAATGAAGTAGCAGAGGCCCACCATCCCAAAACACCTTCCCTCCAGAACCCTGCTAGGACCTGGAGCCCCTTCCCCACTGCTTCCCAGAGGAGGGGTCCACAGGGCCCTGATGCCCCTTTTCTCCCCACCCCCACCCACTGTGGTCAGTGTTCGGAGGACTACCGATGGAAGTGGGGAAGCAGTACCATCCTGCTCACATATGGCCAGATGGCCGCCAAGGCCAAGGACCACATCCTCCCGTGGGTGGACAACATCTTGTCCCGGATGATCTTCTACTTCCGCTACAGCTGCTGGGTATGGTGGTCCCTAAGGCCAGCCCAGAATCAAGAGTCCAGGACCCCAAGGCTAGGCGCCATCTCCCCACCCCCAACCCTACCCTGCAGTCCGAAGAACCCTGCTGGCCTTCCCGTTGCCCCTCCACCCCTTTGCCCACCCTAAAGTTATCTGGGCATTTCACTTTCAACAAACCCTGGGTTTACACCTATGGGTGAGGGAGGGGACATTGGGGAGGCGACAACCCTGTGTGCTTTCTGCCTGGGATCTCAAATCCCCCGGGGGCCGCGATGGCTCCTACACACAAGGTTCCCAGGCCGAAATACTGTCAGCGGCGTTCTCAGACTTTGAACAAAGCTCCATGTGTCCAAATACTGAAAACCCCGAATGTGCAGGTCACCAACCATGGGCTCTGCCATGCCCCTGTCCAGCATGGCCCTGCTCTCACTCCCTGCACTGTCTCTGCCCGATGCCTGACCAGCTCCCCTCGTTCCAGGATGACACCCTGAAACAGAGCTTCCTCTCAGCCGTCTTACAACTGGTGGAGGCCACTAGCCGGAACGACGGTGCCCACAGCTATGAGTTTGCCCAGGTCCCCGAGCTCCTCGACTGTCTGATGGTGAGAGACGGTCCGGGGCCTGAGGAGGGGCGTGGTGGGGAGGAGAGATGGCATCCTCACACAGGCCAGCAGCGTTCATGAATGAGCTCCCCTGGGAGACGAGTGGGAGAGGTGGGTTTCTGGAGTGTGCCCAAGTTCCTTACAAGCTTTCACATTTGGAAGCCCACCCATTTTGCTTATGGTGACCTTGAGCCATTGGCTGGCCAGTTACAGCCAACTTCCAGATGATGAGCCTTCAGCACAGAAAGGCCAACTCCATCCATTCTGCAAACACTGGCCTGGCTGGTTCCGAGTGCCCGGTCACACGGAACTTCCAGGGCGGTGGAGTAAACACAAGCATGCATGCACTCATGACAGTGACCAAGCCCCTTTACTGAGTCCCTGCTTGGGCCAGACCAGTGGTGCATAGCCCATCTTGCTTCGTGAGTAGCAGCAGCCTGACTGATGGGTAAACAAGTCTCAGAGCAGTAGTCACACAGCTAGTATGTAACTAAACAAGCTTCAGATGTGATCTCTCTGATGACAAAGTGTATGCTTGGATTCTCCAAGGGGTGGCCAAGTCTCAGAGGGCCCTGAATGCCAGGGTGAGGTCTTGGGCAGAGATGAGCCCTGCTGTCAGAAGTGGGCTTTGCCCGAGTACGTGTGGTTCATTGCATCTGGGGATTTGCAGACTTTAATGGAGAAGGAGTCCCCAAACACATTGTGTACGTCAACTCGCCAACAGACCATCCACATCATCTCCAGCGTCTGGTAAGCACCCTGGTGTAGTGCTTGTAGGGCAGTGAAGGAGGAGGGGACAGGTCAGAAATCTAGACCCCCATGGCTGGGCCTACCCCACCCAATACCAGGGTATTACTTAAGGCCAAAGCCGCCAGTTATTGCAAGACCCCCACTGTGAGTAGATCTTAGGGAAAATTCCAGGCCTAGAAGGAAGGAGTGTGAAGGAAAACAGTGTCTAGACCTGAGCCAACACCCAGGTGGGACAAGGCTGACCAGGAGGCTGCAGGGCACCGGGGGTCCTTGGGGCAGATACTCTGCCCTGCCGTCTTTAGGTTTCACCCCGCCCACCCCCCACCCCCAGGCCTGAGCGGGCGAGGTGGGGCGTCTCCACAGACTTGGAGCCATTAGCACCCCTCAGAACTTTCCATGAATTACATATACACAACAACCCCACAAAGGAATGTTGTCGTAATTGCTGTGGAGTGCTGTTGAGTGGGTTCCAACCCCGTATAAGGTTTCCGAAGAGCGACTGGTAAGCTTGAACTGCTGACCTTGCGGTTCAAACTGACTTTGTACTCCAGCGCATTAACCCACAACGCCACACCATGAAGGAATAAGCCCCCTTTGCTGGCCTGCTCTACGTTTTAGAAGGGAGGTCAAGGGATGGGTGCTGGGCAGAGTGGGCAAGGAGGGTGAGGGTATTAACCACAGAGGTGGCAGCGCAGCTGGGTAAGAACAGGTAGACCAGGTCCAAACCCTACTTCCAACAGTACCTAAGCTCTCCAAGCCTCTGTTTCCTAAAGAATTCATTAGGAAATTATTCCAAGCAATTATTGAGTACCTACTGTGTTGGAAGTAGCTCTGGTAGCGTCGAGGTTACGAATCGGGCTGTGAACTGCAAGGTCAGCAGTTTGAAACTACCAGCTGCTCCGCGGGAGAAAGATGAGGCTTTCTGCTCCCGTAAAGATTTACAGCCTCGGAAATCCTGTTCAGGGTCACTATGGGTCGGAACCGACTCGACGGCACTTAACAACCGCCGACCTTGCAGTTCAAATGACTTTGCAGTCTGGCGCATTAACCCACAGTGCCACACCATGACGTAGTGGTTATGTGTTGGGCTGCTAACCTCAAGGTCAGCAGTTTGAAACTACCAGCTGTTCCGAGAAGGAAAGATGAGGCTTTCTGTTCCCGTACAGATTTACAGCCTCGTAAATCCTCTGCAGGGCCACTTAGCAACAACGGCTCTGTGTCAGGTACCCATCTGCTTGCTGAGGACGAGTGTGAACCAGCAGAGAACATCTTTGTACCCAGAGAGCTGATACTTAGAGGCGGGAAGGGAGAGACGTGGAGTCAGGGCTGCATCAGGGCCATCGGGGAGAGACACAGCAGAGACAGTGAGGCTGAGGCACCCGTGGACCTGAGGCCCCTGCCCTCCGGGACACCCACACCGGGGTACCGTGGCCAGCTCCCCTTCACAGCTCCTCTGTCTCCCCACAGTAAGCTGAGGCCCCCGCCAGACGTGGAGCGGAAGTCACGGCTCCTCTCTGTGTGCTTCCGCAGCGTGTTCGCCTTGCCAATGCTGGAGGCTCTGGAGAAGCATACCTGCCTCTTTCTGGAGCCACCTGACATACAGGTGCGCCAGCTAAATGGCTGAGGAGGGTCAGGAGGAAGGGGCCGGGCTCCTGACAAACCCTCGGATCAAGGTTGGGGGACCTTGAGCATGTTCCTTACCTGCTCAGCTCTGTCCTTTGCCCACCTGATGGTAAAATCTCTGCCGCTAACAGAAAGATGGGCCTTCTAACCCACCAGCCGCTCAGTGAGAGCAACATTAGGCAGTCAGCCTCAGTAGAGATGCCAGCCTTGGAAACCCTGTGGGGCATTCTGTCCTGCAGGCTCGCAATGAGCTGGCATCGACCAACGGCAATGGCTTGGTTTGGGTTTGGATGGTGCAAGGGTTAAACGCTTGACTGCTAACCTAAAGATGACAACCACGAAACCCCTCACATGGGCCCCTGAGAGTCAGAATGCAGAGTTGATGTTTCTTTTTTTTTTGGGGGGGGGGGGGGGGGGGAGCGGGAAACGAGATACTAGGGGTCTACAGTGAAGACGCGGTGCTCTCAGGGAAGTCAGCCTGGCGCTGACCAGGCGCTGGTGCGCAGGGCCTTGAATGCCGAGCTGTGTGGCAGGGTCACAGGGAGGAGCAGGTGCGCCCTCCACGGGATGAGCTCCTCAACCCCACAGGGCCACCAAGTCACCTTCTGGGCAAGGAGGCTCAGTCTCTCCCGAGCAGCTACTTGGACTGACCACCTTCACGAGGTGGGAAGGAGGAGCCCGCTTGCTTTCTGGTGGGCTGAGCAGACCCCTTCTTGAGTTCCGTTAAGCAGAACAAGAGGACGCGGCCATGGCTGGAGGATGCCAGCAGAGGGCGCACACCGCTCCCACGAGTGCAGACGCAGCGCAACGCAGGATATGCAGCGGAGGGGAGGGGCGCCCTGTTAAGTGCGTAGGGACAAGGTGCCGGCGCCAGTGTGAGCGTTATCTCGTAGCCTTCAGAAGCCGGTCCTGAGAGAGAGGAGCATGCGCAGAGAAATTAAGGCGTCTGATGGGCCAGGGTTTGCATCTGTGTCTCGGGCCTGCTCTCCATGCCACACCCTGAGATGGGTCCCAGCACTATGCCCTGGGGTGGTGCGAGAGCACGAGGCCCTCTCTGCAGCCCTCCAGAAGGGTGGCGTCTCCCGTGCCTCCATCCACAGAATCCCAGGGCACCCCTCTTACCAGACACCACACTGGCTCATCCTGGGGGCCGCAGTGCCCACCTCCACCTGGCGGGTCAGGTTGGCTTCACGCCCAGGTCACAGGTGAGGTCTGAGGTCGCAGGTGACAAGACCACGCTAAGACAAGTGGAGGGAGGCCCTCTCCTGAGTGGCCAGGCAAGCGAGGCAGCAGGTTGGAGTGCAGCAAACTGGAACCTAGTCAGCTGCATAGTTCACAGGCCCAGTGTAAGACAGTGCGGACCATGATTCCAAACGTGTTAAGAATTTCTAGATGAGGGCTGCGGAACATTAAACCAAGCATTAAACCTCGTGAGGGTGTGAGACCCAGGTGATCACTCAGGGCTCTTCTGAGCGCACAAGTCTCGGTAGCCCAGGGCGCAGGTAGCTGAGTGAACGCTGGGCCTGGTGAGCACGTGCAAGCTCCTTCGGGGCGCGCGCCCCCTAAGGAACCCTGTGCCCGTGTTACCTAGTCTGCCAAACGAGGGTGATCAGAGCTGGTGGGCGGCGCCTTCGCAGGCA